ACAACCACGTCTTGTCCATCTTGATCATCTCTCTGCCTCATAGCATAAGCGCGTGCAGTAGTCCTCTGTCCACTAGCTTGATTAGCTCTACTTGTACCTGCGACTTGGGTGTTTTTAGGTCTTGCACCTCTATTAGTTTGAGGAGGATTAATAAAAGTCTTATGAATTGAGCCTTGAGCTTTCAAGGAAGGAGCATTTTTAGGATTAGGATAGTCCTTCACTTTATGATCAAAGCTCCCACAATTGAAACATGCACCAGAAGCTCTCCTGCAAGTACCATAATGATTCTTTCCACTTTGTGGACAAGTGGGAACACGAGGCTTGCCTTGGCCATAATTTGGAGTGCTAGCTATAGAAAATTCTGATCTGTTTTGCTTTTGTTGAGGTGGCCTGTTAAAACTACCAGCCTTAGAATCATCAAACCTTCCCCTTTTGGATGGACCACCAAAATCTGGTCTAGGCTTTCAGAATTTGTTTTCATTTCTACTAGCTTCTTCTTTATCAAGTCGTTTCCAAGTAAAAGAAGCAAACACTAACTTACAAAAGTTCTCATGTTGTAGGATCGCCACATTCTTCCTAATGGAATCATTTAAACCGTCTTCAAATTTCCTGCACTTGTCTTTTTCCTCTTTAATAATACCTATAGCATAACGAGAGAGCCTTAGAAATATTTATTGGTACTCAGCAATAGACATGCCTCATTGCCTTAAATTCAAAAACTCCTTTCTCTTTACATAACAATAAGCATGTGGGACATACTTCATACAAAATTCCTTAAGAAAATCATCCCAAGTAAGAATAGGAGGTTTTACCTTGGAATTCGGAACACTTACCCACCAATCATAAGAATCCTTTTGTAATAGTGAAATAGAATACTTAATTTTGGCAACATCTCAACACTCCAACTGCTCAAACACCCTCTCCATGCGCTCCAGCCATTGTTCAACATCAGTGGGATCATCAGTGCCTTCAAACTCCACTCCACCCATTTTCCTCATTTTCTCAAAGTTAATCGTTAGGATCATGCATCTATTCAGCCATGTGGTGAAACAATTCAGCCATTTGTTGAAAAGGAGGATTCACGGCTTGAGAACCATGACTCATATGAGGATGTGAACTAGCTCTTACACCCTGATGGTTTCCCAGTTCAGACCCACTAGTGTGGGGAACATATTGATTCGAGAAATACTCTCCAACCCTTGTAGTGCATGGGTTGGGAAACAGACGCACCCGAACCTTCACGAGCAACATCTATAGGTCGGTCAGAAAAAGAGGCCATAACTTAGTTCCTTCAAAAGAGTAGATCACATTGCATTAGGGACATGTACTTGATGCATGTGAACTCTACCTGCAATAAAAATATGAGAAAGCGAACAAGTATACAAGTAATTCACATCAAAACTCCATGTAAGTGAAAAAGAACCATAAATACAACCTTTTCAAAAGCGAACAAGTAATTCACAACAAAAGTCCTAGAACCACAAACCTAGGCTCTGCTACCAACACTTGTAGGGAACCTTTCGGAAGGATACTACCAGTCAATAAGGAATCTACTTTAATACTTGCGACATCTAAAAGAGATTAATGTAGGGAGTATTGAATAAAGTCTAGTAGGGTGATTAGGTTCAAAAAATGAAGAAGTTATGGATGTGCATCGTGCCCATTTAAACATTCAGTTGCGTCAAATTAAAACTTCGTAGAATTTTAACTTATGGTGGAAAAACCCTTCCAAGATAATCAAAGCAATTAACTAACGAGATTTTCATGCATACATTATCCTCACATTTCGAAACGATATAAAACGGATATTACCAACTTCTGAATACCAAAATTAGACATTTCATGCTTCACCCAAACATTAAAAACAAATAGTAAGTTTAGTATATTACAAGACTAGAGTTTACACACCCAAAAGAACAAAACATATAGCAAAACTTATTACAACCCATGGCGACATGATCAAAGTAGCCCTCAAAATTTCATGCAAATATACAACACATAGATTATGTACAAGTCCAAAGGTTTATACAAAATATAGATGCCTATATGCAAATGCGATCTTCCTTAAGGCTCTCAAAATTCCCATCTCTAATGGCCAGCTTCATAATCGTCTCGAACATTCCCTATGATAGAAACAACTATCGCTAAGCATATAGCTTAGTGGTGTAAAAACTATAGGTTCGGAGCCGTTAGATTCACCAAGCTACCTTTTTCTAGTCATGGGAAACACAATTGAATATAATAAATAAATCAAGTAAATAATATATAAAGAGTGTCAAGTTCGATATTTAAAGTCCAAATGTCAAGAACGCTCAGAGCATCATTCTCCAAGAGACTCAACAACAAGGCTCGCCCAATATATACATCATGTCGTCACACCAAGCACAAACATGTATCAAGAAGGGCCGACGCCCTGTATCAAGAAGGGTGAATCCCAATATTTAAGAGAACCAAGAACCATATTAAAAATGGCTTTCCAGTTCGTACTTAAAAAGGACAACTTCCATCCTTAAGATGGACTAAAAATCCATAGTCAAGATGGCAAATGATCCGAATCAAGAGTCATGTCAATAGTGACAAAGTCACACTCACAAGAAGGACAAGGTACCAACAAGAGTGCCAAGTGATCAAACAATCTGTACAAGTGGGCGAGTTACACAAGTGTCTTTAATGTATTAAAGACAACAACACGACAATGCAAACTTACAAGAGTTAACCAAGGTACCAAGATAAACATTCAGATATACCAGCAGGTAAAAAGATTACAAGTACAAGTTTATACCCAAACCTCAGTCTTTAGCTTAGAAACAGTCAAACACAACTTCAAGAGTTCAAACTGTAGACCAACCAACGAATCAAGGTCCTCAACTTCTTCAAGAGTTCAAACCTTAAAAATAAAATTAAATAACTTCTTCAATTCCTAGAAGCTCAATAATGTTAATGTAAAACAAGATTATTATCACAAGTAAGCTTCACCTATACAAATACGACTACGCTTCCAAAACAGTGATTCTGGACAATCTAGTACACCATGTCGCAACTTAGTTTTGAAAAGAAAAAAGGCAAAAGTGGACTTTATATCCTTCATGAAATATGTAGGTACATCTCTTAAGGTAGCAAATAACCAAGAATCATCGCAAAATATATTATGTACAAAAAGATTTATTCAAAACACTAACAGTTGTTCATACATGATTTTAAATTCTAAAATTTGGACAGAACTTGTCCTATGTTGCCTCCATATGTTGAATCGATAACAGCTAAATTAGACTTGTACATAAACATAAGAATTGTAGGTATACGAATTAGATTTCCAAATCATATTTATTCACTGAAAAATAGGTTCTACACAACGAGATATTCGAAAGGTACTAAGCACTACTTAGCTAAAAAAAATAGATTTCGACTACTCACCAAAGGGAAGGGTGTGTCTCGAAATCCAGCAAAAAGGACCAAAGTTTTCTTGAAATTTTGAGAGTAATATGGTTAGAGGAAGTCTACAGGTTTCTTAGAGTTAAAGAACACGAATTCTTATAGAGGAGGTGTGAAAATATATCTTATAAAAGTGATATTTATCACTTACTAGATATAGCCAAAAGTAAAAGGTTGGCTGCCCAAAAGTAAAAGGTTTGCTTCCTAAAAGTATACATATATACCAATATGTATATACCTCACCTCCCTTTAAAGTTATAGATAATTCCAACTAGAATGTTACGTAAATACCCTAAAACAATCCCTTAAATGACTGTCTCAATTTATGTTAAGGAAGTTTGCAAATATGACAAAAATTTAAGTTCCCAAAACGAGAATAAAACATATTGTAGTAATTAAGCAACGGTTGATAGACATGTGACTCTTGGTTAGTATTTTGGGGTGTTACATACTATGTCAGCGATAGTCTAACCTATAGCTTTGATATGTCTTCTCCACACCTTGATGAGCAATTTTACTTGTCATTCAAACAAAGTAGCTGCAATGATCACGGGTAAAGTGTTATTTGCCCCCAAGAAGGCATATCGGAGATGGGAGGGAAGTACTTTCAACTCCAAATTCGGTGGTTCTTTTGTTGATGGCTTTGCGGCAGGACTTTCTCAATCTTTAAGATCAATATCCAGCCTCAATGGAGTCTTAGAATAATCCTCCATGCCTGAGAGCCCAACTAGTACCTCTTCGTAGCCTTAAACTTCGAACTCATCATAGTTAGCAAGCACAACTTCAAGTGGTTCACTAATACATATCAAATGGCTCAAACTAGCCACCGACTCATCAATAACATCAATAGTAGAGACCACATGAATATCAGTTGGGTGCTTCATTGACTTACAAACATCAAAAGTTACTTCATCTTCGTTCACCTGGAACTTCAATTCTCTGCTTTCAACATCCACTAACGCTCTCCCAGTTGCCAAGAATGGTCTTCCCAAAATAATGAAAATTTCAGCATCTATCTCACAATCGAGAATGACAAAATCAGCCGGGAAAATGAATTGGTCAACCTTTAACAATATGTCATATAGTATCCCTACAGGATGCTTGATAGATCGATATGCCATCAAAATCCTCATTGTTGTGGACATTGGTTCACCCAATCCAAGTTGCTTATAGATTTTGTATGGCATTAGGTTTATACTTTCTCCAAAATCACATAGAGCCTTGGCGAATTTGAGCATACCGATAGTGCAAGGAATGGTGAAGGCTCTGGGATCTTCTTTCTTTTTTATTTTCTCATTAGTCATAATTGCACTAGAACTATGAGAAACTTCAATTGTTTCAAAGTCCAAGCTTATTTTCTTGGTGACTCGCTCTTTCATGAACTTGGCATAACCCGACATCTCCAACAATGCTTCCACTAGAGGGATATTAATCGATAATGTCTTGAACACCGATAAATTTTTCTTGAACTTCTCATCCTCATTCTTTTTTTTGAGGCGTTGGGGAAATAGAAGAGATATATTGGGTAAAGGTTGAACAACTTTTGGGATTTCATTATGTTTCTCCACATATTTTTTGTGTCTCTTTGGCAATGCTTTGATGGATGGGTATTTCTTCCTCCTCCATACCTTTGTCTTCTTCATTATTGTCTGCCACCTCGGCTATCACTACTTTCCCCACTACGAGTAACCACAACCAGACTTCTATCACCATTTTCTTTCATAATACTTGGCTCCAATTGCGCTGAAAGTAAACTCAACCGATCTTCAAGTAGTTTGATTGCATCTGCATGAGAGTTCACTCTAGTATTCAATGATGAAAAAATAGCCTTCATTCATTTTAGCAAGTCATCCGAACCTTCAACTTTGTCAAGGATGCGAGATAGCAAGTCATTCACCCGGGGAGTACTTAAACTCCGTTTAGACTTCGGACTTTCACTCGATTGAGTGTGGTCTTCTTCATTATCATCTTCTCTTCTCTAATAGTCACTTTGCTCAGCCCATCCTTGATGATATTTTCTTTTGTCTTCCTTTTTGTGAAAGTTCCATCCTTGACTCCCACCTCGTTGTAAATAGCATGGATGGAAACCCTACTCATATCTCTTGGAATTCCAACAATGATCCTCCCCTGGTTTTGAATAACCCGAGGAGGAACCCTTCTCACATCTAAACACTCCATCTGCCCCCTTTTGCTTGTTCACATTTTCTAACACGTGCTCTTGTAGTAACTCCATTTGGGCCAGCATCTTCTTGATGTTCTAATCCCTTTCTCTTTCCTTATCAAGTTTCTCTTGAGTCATTCCAAAACAAAAAGGTGAAACTTTATCTTCTTGAGTGTAGAACCCTTGATTTATTTTAGTCATATCATCAAGATGAAATGAAGCTACCTCAAATAATTGCAACATTATTCCCCCTCGAACCAATTAGTCAACAATTTCTTTATTAATCGAATCATGACTCCGCTAAAAATATTAGAGTAGCAAATCGTTTGGTAGACCATGAGTTGGGCATTGAACTAAGAGTTTCTTGAACCTCACCCATGTTTCGTGGATGGGTTCACATTCTAATAGCTTAAAACCTTGAATGTTATCTTTGAGTTTCATCATCCACAATGGGGGAAAGAATATTGCATTGAATGCCATAATTTGCTCATCCCATGATGTCATGTAATTTCTTGTTAACTCAGCTAACCCTCCCCCGTCAAAGAGAGTGAAAATAACTTTAGCTGGATTGACTCTTGTGACACATTCTTGAATGAAAATGGGTTGCACACCTTTATAAAATTTCTTACATACTAATGTGAATCTTTGTGATCTCGCCTTCCATAGAGTTTCCTCATTTGGAGGAGATGTAGAGTCGTGGTAGTGACCTCGAATATTGCATTTCTATCAGTTGGTGGTAGGCAAATTGCACCCATTTCACCCAGTTGAGATGGGTTGTAAACACTATTGATATCATCGATACCATCGGGATGACCTATTTGGCTACCTTCCACTTCTGCCTCACTCTTTCTCACTTCTAGTTACCCCACTCAACACGAGCACGATGCCACCTAAATCAATTCAACTACGGCCGACAGATTGACAAGTAAAATTTTGTTAAAGAACTCTAAACAACGCTACTCCCCAGCAGCGGCGCCATGTTGATTAATGTTTCAAACACACTTCATCCAATTCTATGTGTCCACTGTCCTAAATCAGTATAAACCGAACAACATGAGTTGGGGTCGATCCCACAGAGAGTATCTTTCTTTTGAATTCGAATAGAAAAGTATGACAGTGACCTTTTCATCTGAACAAACACCACACTTAAGAGTTTAGGATTTAAATTCCAGGTTGTAGTTACTAACCCACTTCAAAAATCAACATGGAAAAATCAAATAATGATATAACACTTGGGGGATTGACTAACCAACTATAGAATTCAACTTAATGGGTGAACATAATTACCAACAATGTTAATTTGTTGTGGGTAGAATGGACTATATGTAAATCAATTTTCTCTAGAACAATTACCTTATTTCTGTTGAATTCTCTCGAACTTCAACACTAGCCATAAGACGCCCAACCCACGATCTCATCAAATCTACTTTTTCGAGCTAGACACAGGCTGAATCTCAAGTTTCATTTTCTCAAGCTGAAACCGTAAGAAAAATAAAATCTACTTTTTCGAAACGTTGGCTCTATACTTCTGTTTGGAGCAAGAAAAATACTCTGGACTATATTGCACTAAGCATGCAATAATGAAGTTAAACTAGGATAATAATTCAAACCCACTTCAAATTAATACCAAAATTCACTAATTGATGACACCCACTTAGTCAAATGCAACAGTATGTCACATTGTCAAACCTCGAAGGTTAGGGTTTAGCCAATTATAGTAAAAAGATAAAATTCTATACCTGCCATATTTTCCATAGCTTGGTAAAATGAAATTCGGAAGTCAAAATTCAATAATATATTCTCTACTACAAAACCCAAATGAAGAATCGTATTAAAAATCACTTCAAATCAACAATAACAGGGTTTTTGATTTCTATCTTTTGTTCCTAACAATTTCAGAATGTTTTGTCTCTCTTGCAAAAATCAATTGATAGAAAATATGGTGTGACATTTTGGGAGCACTCAGCGAGGAAAGTCAGGCATAGCCTATTGCTCGGTAACTAGTTGTTTTCCGTTCGTCTCGCCTTCATGCTTCACATCATTTTCATACGAACACTGTAATTTTAGGGGAGCCAACTCAGGATCGCCGTTTCATTCCGTGATGCACCCTTTTGCCTTTTGACTCGCCCTTCGGTGCTTATCTGGGTCTCCATCAGTACTTTCAGCGAAATGGTCATCATTCTCTGATGCAATCGGCGGTACACTGAATGGGAATGTTGTTCACCAAAGTTACCCCTCATCAAGCCTCAGAGTTCTATAAATTTAGGTGGTAGAAGGGCAACTTGGCGATTCGCCGAGTGATCTTGGCGATTCACCGAGTGATCTTGGCGATTCGCCGAGTGATCTTGGCGATTCGCCGAGTGATCTCAGCGATCGTCAGGCTTCTTTTTCTCTTTCTTTTTTTCTGCTCGTGTTGTCCTTGTTTTCCATTTCTGACCTAGCTTTGTTTCTCAATCCATATACCTTAAAATCAAGGTTTTTACACCCGTTATTGGCACAAATTACGCATTTGAGGACAATAATCTTATACAATCGAAGCCATAAATGAGTCCAAATCTATGACTCATCAAAAGGACAAGTTAAAACAATAAGATTCATGGGCAAATGGAAGTAAAATCATCTTTTGAACACTTGTGAGATAGTTATTGCAGTAACCTTAGTTCATAATTATTGTGGGAAGTAGTCTTAACCAACATACATATCATGTGAGCTATAGAATGGAATCTGGTGTCCTCCCCACACCGAGATGGGTTATCCTTGCATGCGAAGGCAATAACCTTAACTTTTAGCTTACGTGGATCCACTAGACAATGTCTATCTAAGACAACCTTTCTATTTTGACCAATAGGTATGGGATAAGGAGATTTCTACTAGAAACCCGACCTCTAGCTATAAGACAACTTCCATCTGAATATCCTCTCGGTGCTAAGCATAAATCCCACGGAATAATCATAATTCTCTACATGACTTATCTTTCATTGAAGGAACATCAAATAGCCAATCCAAGCAACGTTTTTGTAGAATAGCTCCTAAAACATGATTCTTATTATTTGAGAAAGCCTTTCAAATCTTAAGAATCCTTATGTGAAGAAACCCTTTCACATGCATGTATTGAGTGATAATTTATAAATCCTTTTACAACTACAACATATATGTTTTACTCTCAAAACAACTTAACTCACTTTTCATTACTCTCATAAAGAACATGCATATCTATAACGACCCAAGGGTACCCCGTAGAAGTAAGAAGACACACAATGCCCCTAAAGGCACCATGTAAGCCACATAGCATATCATCACATAAGTAAAGAACAATAAACAGTAAAATACATTTCAATTCTTAAGCAGTTTTCATAAAAGCAAAGTGGAAGTCTAGACATTGTCTCATTTAGCCATCTATTACAATCGAAGTCTCAAATATGGTCACAACCCTTACAATAGAAATCTGAAAGGCTAACAAAATGAAAGAAAAGGAACAACAAGATATCACTCGTCCTCAGATCCACGAGGACTCACACCTAGCTAGGAGAATAGTCGATCCAAGCTTGTATCAAAGAAAGATCACCTCAAACACCGAAACCTACACTATGTGGAAAAATGTAGAAGAAATATGGGTTAGTACAAAGATGCACTAAGTATGATAGTCTTGCACAAAACCATGAAAATATGCTACAAGGGGACAATGTAGTTAAAGATCATGCACTTTATCAAGTTTGAGAATCATCATGAAAATTTGAGTGAAAGCATAATTCATGAGTATATTCAATATGTAAGTCAACACATCATAATAGATATCTACTATGAATACCCTCAAAGTCCACTTGTGCAATGCATAAGTAAGATCCATAATCTTACCCATGCTAAGTAAAACTGCTTGAGCAATTATAGTTAATAATTCATCTTTTTAGTTACGTTGGGAATAAGACTTAACCGACATAGACCATGTGAGCTTCAAATTGAATCCGATGTCATGCCCTACACCGGAAAGAGGTGTCCTACTTGCCTAATGTAGAACTAAATGTATTAGGTTTTAGGTGGATCCACTAACTAATTGACCTTTGGGGGCACATAGTTATGGGATACGGAGATTTTTACTATAAACCCAACCTTACTTAACCGGGGAGCTTCCATCTCATGAGATTAACCTTAGAAACCCAACCTTTTTTAACTGGAGAGCCTCTATCTCATATTCAATATCCACTCGGTGCTAAGCATTACTTCCCAAAATGACATATTTAGTCTTGAATTGAATTTATATGCATGAAGGAATGTCTTACCCTCCATCCAACACAATTCATAAAATTAGCTCATAGATTCAATTGATGAGAATGGACTTTCAACCTTAGAATCATCATATAGCAAGAAGAATTTTCAATCCACTAAATAAGTCTTTTATTTTTTCTCCAAAAAATAAAATAATAAAAGGAAAAAATTTACAAAACCGTGAATGAACCTTGAAATTTTTACAAAATCATGCTATAA